ACCTGTGGCCATGGAGGTGATTGGAACACTGGATCCAATGATTTCGAGGGGTGTACCAATACTTTTGCCAACATAGTGTAGTTTGGTGGAGAAGACTGTCCTTCTGGGCAAAACAAAATGGTGGATGGGTACATTCCACTATGGTGCAGCTCAGGCCATAAACTCACAGAAAGGGGTCCACTCCACCAGCTGGAATGGGAGTAAGTGAACTGTATAGCCAGCAGTTTTGGAAAGCTGAAATTGAAATTATCATTTCTGGGCATGGGGTTGATTGGGAACATTTTTGTTCCCATAGCTTTGAAAGAGACATGTTCATGGTTAATGATGCTGCTGGTGATGGCAAACCTACTTAGGCTCTATGGCTTTGTGTCTATTTAGGCTCTGTGGCTCTATGCTGACCCTCTTACCCTATAAACATGCCATAATGAAAGCCTCTCAAACCCCTCCCTATCACTTGAGATCACAGTTGGTGCAGTTCATGGAAGGGAGGCAGATGCAGAATATTCTGGAGTATGGAAGGAGAAGAAAAGTGAGGCATAAGAAACAGGGGTTGGAGGAGTGTGGGCATTTTGCAGCAAAATGGTATCATTGAGCTGCCTGTTCCACTGAGCTTTGTGGTGCTGAATCATTTGTCTCTTCATGTATGTGGTACCAACAGGTCAGGTAGATTTACCACAGCTGATACACTTCAGACGGAGGCCACAAGTCACAAATGTGCTGTTAGCAGCAGATATTTAAAAAAACAAAAAGTCCAAACTGTTTAACTATGTGGAATGGCCTTGGGGATAGCAAAAGTGTGGGTTGGTACCATCCAGTGGTAAAGGATATCTGCTCCCTTCAGTCTTCTGCAAGCTGCCCCTGCCCCTGCCCCTGCCCCTGGATAAAATGTTGTTTCACTGCTGTTCTGTCTCTCCCTCAGTTTCCTCCTATACAACCTCTGGCTTCCAAGTATGGTTTGCCACATCATATTCCCCATGCTCTTAATCATGCTCAAACCAACTTGGCAGTAAGCTTCATCTGCAGGAACATCACAACTAATTGCTGCTCCATGCTTGATGTACCCTCCCTTTTTTGCTCTAGGCATTCTCTTCCTCAATATCACATAAAGTGAAGTATTAATTATTGCATCCTCCTGCAGCAACTTACAAAAGCTGTGCTGAAATATTTCAGCTGACTGATCCATGCCAGTTTGTGGAGCTGTGGCAGGATTAGCTGTAGAAGAGGAAGAAGAAAAGGGGTGCATTGGCAGCTACTGGTGGAAATGCACTGCCCTGTGATTGGGAGGAGGAAGATGAGAAGAGATTCAGAAGCCACTCCATGACCTCTTTCGCAAGCTCTAGTTGTATAACATGTCCACTAACAGAAATAAAATGCAGGCATGTCCTGACTCTCAAAGCTGTGGTTCAAGTATTGTTTTGTCCTATGGATGCAGAACCTGTTTGCCCCCAATAGCTGAGCATGCAGAACCTCTTCCTCTCCCTTTAGGAATCCCAAACATTATGAATTGCATACATTTATTATCAGCTATCACTATGAGGGGTTTATGAAATGGTACTTTGGTGCACAAAAGAATGTGCTGCACAAGTATTCGGTGATGTGCTACAAACAAAGGGCTTTGCCTGTTTAGTCACCTGCTGACCCCAAAATAAAAGATCCTAGCAAAATTATATTTAAATAAAATGTAGCCCCCCTTTACAAACATAAAACCTAAAACGCTAAACCCCAACCCCATATTTTTCAAGGGGACAACAGCTAAAGGGCAATTGAAGTTGTTGTTGATAAAAACAAAAAGGTAATCCTAGCAATAGCAGTTGGGTATATGTGAACATGGGGATGGGGTACACAATAATATGTAAACTATTGCACTGCTATTTATAGTTATGTAGCATGATACAAAATTTTCTGTTGTTCCTCTAGGACAGGAAGTGAAGGCAAATAAAACAGAGATGGTAAAAAGTAACCTTACAAGGATTTTAACAATGTCCTATTCTATTAAAAAAGTTTTGACCTTTGATACTCTTTAATGATTTTTAATTGAATATATAACTGGGTTCTATAGTGTTTTATACCTTTCTAAGATACAATTTTAAATTCTGCTTTGAATTATTTTTGAATTCTAATGCTTGTCAGTATATTGATACAAAAAACAGATCCTGATTCATAGGCTTAATTACTGTTAGCATTAGATAGTCTATTAGTGTTACTGACATTAAGTAGTGCGTTGCCCAACAGTGATGATGTCATACTGTGACAGATATGAATACTGTAAAGAATTATCCCATAATGGAAGCAGAGTAATACTATGTTCAGGAAGGAAGAAAACATTTGGGTCAAGGGATCTGACATATATTTGGTTTAAAGCAGTTTTCTGTACTAAAACTCTGTTTAGTAGTTGTCAACAATGCACAACCAACAACAAAAAGGAATAACTACAAAAAAAAGAATGTGAAAACTTACCATCCCGACTGTGTGTCCCCAGAATGCTGCTCTGCTCGCCAAAAATCCTCCACTGAAATCTGCTGCAAAATCAAAACCTTCAGTAGTGTGGGTCTCCTGGGCCCCCTGCAGTGCTCTCTGGTTCTTCCCACCAACCTCTAAACTATTATTCTGTCCTGTAAGAGCAATGAGGTTAGTTGAAGTTGACACTGACATCACAGAGGACCAGGGAAACTGACATTTCTGAAAGTATAGGTTTTCTTGAGGATTTCTAGTTAATAAAGCTACATTCTGGCAGAGCAGGCAGCAGGAAAGGTAAGTATTAACATTCTTTTTTGCAAGTATATATGCATGGATTTTTCTTTCTATCGCGTTAACATTTGAAGTCCTCTAAGCAAACTTTTAACCACAGCCTACAATAATGAACCAAAAGGTTATGTCACAAGCAAGGCTCAGAGCAGACTGAAACAATATAGCAACCAATTTAATTTCGCAGGTCACTCAGTCATTGCATACACTTTTCCAAAATGGCCAAAACCAAAATAAATGTAATATTATACTGAAACACTGAGAGTCTAGGCAAAAACATTTTTCTTGGCAACAGACCTTATATCTAAACTAAAAAATGAATGCATGCAATAACCATAATAACACATACATGGATTGATGCAGATATACCTTTGATAAATGGATGAGTGTTAGTGATACAATGGCCCCTGAGAGTATGCGATTAGACTGATCAGTGCCACTGACCAGCACAACCATGCCAGACCAAGATAGCTAATGTTCAAAGTATGTCATTGGATCTATATGCTTCACTGCTCCCCAAGCTGCAAAGGCTCAATATTGGAACACCTATGTCACTGCTTAGACCCCCTAAGCATCACCCATAACTGTCTAAATACATTTCTGTGCTGGGTAGCATGTCAGGAGAAATAGTCTGCTAATGCATATTAGGTCACTAACCAGTGATGTGAAACTCTTACACCATGAACAACAGTTTAGGATATTACAAACAGATCATAACAGAACAGGGAGTAACCGACAAAACAGATTTTTTTTTGTGTAACATCTATAGTACCGTAGTTTTCCTCTTTGTGCCAGTGGTGGCAAAGCTCAATTGTTTGTAGATCTCTAAAGACAAACTGCTCAGTGATATCTGCAAATTTCTGCTTAACTGTTTATCAATTTACTATTTGTACAAAAAGAACATAGTACCAGCAGCAGCATTTCATGAATACCGCTCACAGCTTTTGGTGTTGTACAGTTCTCAGGATATTCTGATAAACAGCAATTTTGATTATGTCGAAACCTGCACGTGAATTCCTGTAGAGAACAGAGTATTAAACTAATCATATCATTGTAATTAAATGAAAAGTAGGCAGCTTTCATAAATGTGTAAGAACAGTGTAGTGTTTACTTCTCTTGACATATTAAAATATGCATTTTATATTTGCCTCTCATCATTTTGTCTTTCCTGCAGCAATGCATCTGCTTGGACTGAACTGGCAGCTCCAGCCAGTGGATGCACATACATTCAACAATGGGATAAGAACAGACAGAGATGATGTTGCAACAACGCCATCTGGTGAGGTTATCAACAATTCTTCCTTCTGCAGTGATTGACTGTGTATACGTCTGTGTCCACTTTCTCTCTTACTATTTCATTCCATGTACAGTTTTTTTTTTATATTGTGATCTAGAAGTCTGTATTATATTTCAAATCAATCTAACTACCTAAGCTAAAAGATTTACTATTCCATGTGTACTGCTGAATACAGTAACATCTCTTAGTATTTTGCTGTCTGTAAATACAAGTTGAAATCAGCATTCTTCCAATATACTGTAAATTTAAACATATTCTTTTTTAGTGTTTATATCTGCCTGCCTTCTTGGGGCTCATGCAGATGACCAATTAGGACCAGATCAACATAATTAGACAGTAGGTACAGCCAGGTTTTTCCAATCAGCTACGAACAGGAATCCTGTACAAATCGATGTTCACATGTAATCGCAGATGATGTTTTTACCTACAGTAAGGGTTGGATTTGCACCCTTGGTCACAAACAGTTTGTATCAAGGGATACATATCTGTCCCAAGATAACCGCTTAAGGAAGTTTTACATTTTTTATGTGTTACTTTAACCACTATTAACCACTTGCCAGGCCATTTATTGCGATACAGTGCTGCATTTTTTAACTGACAATTGCGCGGTCATGCAACACTGCACCCAAATGAAATTTATGTCTTCTTTCCCACAAATAGAGCTTTCTTTCGGTGGTATTTGATCACCTCTGCATTTTTTATTTTTTGCGCTATAAAACAAAAAAAGACCAACAATTTTGAAAAAAAAAATATATTTTTTGACTTTTTGCTATAAAACCTATCCAGTAAAAAGATTTAAAAAAATCTAATTTTGTCAAACATTTAGGCCAAAATGTATTCTGCTACAAACATGCAAATTTAGTTGGTTTAAGTACATGAAAGTTGTGGCATCTACAGATGGCGGTACATATACTGGAATTTTTTTTTAATACTAGTAATGGTGGTGATTAGCAACATATAGCGGGACTGCGGCAGGCATTCTGACACTGGGGGGGAATTAACTAACTGGCACTGACATCCCCAGTGACATTAATACAGTAATAAAAAGCACTGACACTGTACTAATGGCACTGGGCAGGAAGTGGTTAACATCTGGAGCGATCAAAGTTGTGTGCCATTTTACTATGCATGCTGTGTGTGTTTTACTAGGGAAACATACTTCTTTGTATTGCTTTGCTATGCAGAGCAATACAAAGCAGTATGCCGATGCTGACAGGGAAGAGATCTGTGTTGTTTACACACAGTCCTCTCCCCTTTCACTGTTCCTCGGTGATTGCCAGGTGCGAGCGGGGCATCTCAATATCCATCAAAACTAGTCTTGTGCAGGCCACCAGTGAGTGCTCTCTCTAAGGTGTGCATACTCACCAAATGATATTGACCACAAATGTTATTGATCAGAAAATTATATCCTCCATATTTTCACATACGATTTCTCATTACATGTATTTTAAACAAATTAGAAACAGACTCACATAATATAAAACTGTTTGTTAAAACTTAAAAGCCTTAAACGATCAAAAAGGCAAGTGCTTAACAACACTGTATGTTGCACTCATGTCAAACCTTTATGTCAGACCCTTTGGCATCTACAATAGACCAACAGAACTTTTACTAGTTGACTTTCTTAAGAGTGGTGCATTTGTCAGCATCACTATTATTCTCTTATATTGAGCTTTACTTTCTTATCTCCTCCCTTCATTCCATAGTCCTTACTTATACTTTAACCCTAACTCATCTATCAGACTCCGCATCTTACCCTATTCCAACCACTGGATGTCACTATAGTTTTAAAATAGTAGAGTTAATTTCCTAAAAACAAATAGACTGTGCACTTTGCAAGGGAATTTGCACTTTTCAAGGGAGTTTTCCTCAGAGCCTAGTAAAAGAGATGAAGATCTGCTGACTGTTATCATCCAATCGTGTGCAAGCAAAAGTGCAGTCTTTCTTTTTTCCTTGCATGTGACTGGCTATGCCTTGCAAACTGAACTTTTGCCACATCCACTAAGCTCTGGGGAAAGGTTATTTTGCAAAGTGCAACTTCTCTGGTAAAGTGAGCAGCCTATTTGCCTTTAGTAAATCAACCCCATTAACTGCCCACAGTAATTAACTTATAGAATGATTGTTTCCTATGCCAATAAATATCCTAAACTTTATGCACTCAATAAATATATACAAAAATTTGATGCAATAAAAAATTAAATACAATCAATGTACATGGATAAAGATATGAAACCTGTAACAGTATGTATAAAATTATACATACAAATTTATTTAAAATGATGGTAACACATAAAACGAATGGGTTTAACATTTGATCACAGTTAGTACAACCAGAAGGTCCAATCATTTGCTAGGAACCTATTTAATCGAGCTCAACATTTAAACCATTTGCCTGCATAGTGCCCATTAATTGTTATTGGAATAGTCCATTTGATTGTTTCTAGATATTTCCCATTTCAAATTGGATCATCATGCTATGTTTAAAATTTCTATTACCATGGCATAAAACACTAGTTTGCTTAGATCTCTACCATGAGCCTCCCTAAAATGTTTGGATACACTGTGTTGCTTATATCCTCTTTTAATATTATATTCATTATGTGTTTTTCCAGTCTCTGATGTAGGCTCCTGGTGGTCCTACCCATGCATTGGTGCCCACAACGGTCCTACTTGTGTAGGGCCTCCGGGAACTGCATCAGAGACCAGTATAAGATACACTGTAACACATACACATTATAAAAGAATTTGAGCAACAGGAAATTTTTAACACCCTCTAGTGAGAGTGTAAAGTGAGAGTGTAAAGTTTAGGATGCTTATTAGAGTAGTAAAAAAGTTCTATAAACTAATTGTTGTTTTTGAGTTAAAATCATGAAAATATAGTGACATCTAGTGGTTAGGAACGAGTAAGATAAGGAGCTTGATGCCTGAGAAAGAGTTAAAGCATAAGATTGAACTATGGATTAAAGGAAGTATTTTAGAAAGTAAAGGTTATTATAAGAGAATAGTGAGGACGCTGACATATACTCTGCTCTGATGAAACCCTTGAAATTGGAGGAAATACAGTGACGTTATAATGTAAATAGTAAAAGTCCTGTTGGTACCGATGCCAAGAGGTGAACTGAACTGACACATACAGTGATGTTAAGCACTAGATTTTTGCTTTTTTTTTGCTTTTTTCAAATGTTTTAAGTTTTTAAAAATTTGTCAACAGCTTTACACTATGTAAGTCTGTTTCTGTCTTGTTTGAAATTCATATACATAGTTAGTCTGGCTGAAAAAAAGACAAAAGTCCATCCAGTTCAACCAAAAAAAAAAGGGTATAATCCTATACCCACAATTGATCCAGAGGAAGGCAAAGAAAACCAGTAAAGCATGATCCAGTTTGCCTCTCGGGGGATCAGGAACAAATTTTTCCCCAGCAGGAGCAATCGGATATTCCCTGGATCAACTTTAAATGTTAGTATCCAGTTATATTATGTGTAGCTAGGAAAGAATCCAAGGCTTTTTTAAAGCAATCCACTGAGCTGGCCAGAACTGACTCTTGAGGGAGTCAATATGGTCAGGACTACTCTTATCCGGAATTGTGGACAAGAGATGTGGTGTGGGAGCGCTGTGCAGAGATGTCTACAAGCGTTTTAAGAACATTAGCTGCTTACCCGCTGCCATATAGCAGATATACTGCTACACGGTGGCATGGGTACGTAAAATCATGTATATATATATATATATATATATATATATATATACGTGATTTAGCATCTCCAGGCAGGGGGCGCGCGAGCCCTACCTGCTCCACCATTCGCAACCACTGATGTCAATTGCCGAGTCCCAGCCGGTAATTACCCACTGGCGCCTGGTGATTACTGACAATCACCGACAGAGTGGAAGACTGTTTTGCTTACCTCCCTGTCAGCTCGGGCACACTGCCCAGGATGGCTGTGCAAAGCACAGCCATCCTGAGCGGTGTGCTTATAGTGAAGCACACCCCCCTACCCCTTGTAAAACACTCCCTACACACAGTTAACCCTTTGATTGCCCCTCACATTAACCCCTTCCTGCCCAGTGTCATTAGTACAGTGTCAGTGCTGTTTTTTAGCACTGATCACTGTATTGGTGTCACTGGGGATGTCATTCCCACCGCCGCAGTCCCGCTAAAGGTCGCTGATCGCCGCCATTACTAGTAGGGAAAAAAAATCCCAGTATCTATACTGCCATTTGAACACGCTATAACTTTCACATAAACCAATTAATTTACACGTATTGGGATTTTTTTTTTAGCAAAGACATGTAACAGAATTCATTTTGGCCTAAATTTATGATGAAATATGATTTTTTTATTTTTTTTTTTACTGGACCTGCTTAATAGCAAAAAGTCCAAAATATTGTTTTTTTTCTCAAAATTGTTTATTGCTTATAGCACAAAAAAAATAAAAACTGCACAGGCGATCAAATACCACCGAAGGATACCTCAATTTGTGGGATAAAAAGGACATAATTTTCCCTGGGTGCGGCATTGCATGACCGTGCAATTGTCAGTTAAAGTAACTCAGTGCCATAAAGCAAAAAATGGCCTGGTCAGGAAGGGGGGGGGGGGGTAAAACCTCAGGAGGGCGAGTGGTTAATATTGGTGGTCAATGTAATTTTCTGATTGTACACACTGTCACCACATGAAGCACTCACAGGTGGTTTGTGCAAGATTAGTTTTGTGAAAACCAAAAAGATAAGCAACATAATTTTTTTCGTCGTATCGAATAGACATACTGTGTGCACGATTCTTAGCTAAGTGAGTATTTTGACAAAATCCTAATTTTTATGCATATTGTCCAACTCCAAGCTGTATAAACTTGCATGCTTTTTGGATTTAAGCATATCAGGTGATGTGTATTTTTGTAATGAGGGAGGGGGTGGCCTAAGGAGATGAACATCCTATATCAAGGTTTGCATTATTATTAGGCAGCTTCTTTTCCTCAGGCAAAATGGGCCAAAAAGAGATTTAACTGACTCTGAAATTTCAAAAATTGGAAAAAAGTCTTTCAGAGGGATGCAACACTCTTGAAATTGCTACGATATTGAACGTGATCACAGAACCATCAAATGTTTTGTTGAAAATAGTCAAGAAGGTTGCAAAAAATGTGTTGAGAAAAAAAAGATGCATATTAACTGCCAAAGATTTGAGAAGAATCAAACGTGAAGCTACTGGGAACCCATTATCCTCCAGTGCTGTCATATTCTAGAACTGCAACCTACCTGGAGTAATAATAATATGGGGCCATTGGGAGCAGAAATGAACTGTCAGAAGACCTGCCTAGCAAGGCAATAGAACTTTATAAAGATGGAAAAGTATGTGAAAATATATCCAAAGCCTTGAATATGTTGGTTAGTAGTAGTCAATCACTTATTAAAAAGTGGAAAATTCGAGGACCTCTTGATACCAAGCCAAGGTCAGGTAGACCAAGAAAGAGTGCAGTCACAACTGCCAGAAGACTTGTTCCAGATACAAAGAATACCCCACAAGTAACCCTAGGAGAAATACAGACTGCTCTGGAAAAAGATGGTGTGGTTGTTTAACCACTTTAGTGCCGCCCCATTGCAGAAATATTGCTACAGGGCAGAAGCGGTGCACAAAATGATGTATATATACATGATTTTGCAGTTATGGGTAGGGGGCATGTGCCCTACCCATGCCAACATTTGCAGTCACCAATCACCAAGTCCCGGCCAGTGATTACTCGCCGGCATGTCTAGTGATTGCCGAGGATCTCCGACGGGGGGGGGGGGGAACTGATAGTAAACAGTTTACAACCATTTTATTCCAAAAGGGAAAGAGATCATGATCCAGATGCTTGATTACTGTTTGTTATAAGGTTCTGATAAATGATGCAAAAAAGATGCTCATGATCATACAGTATAAGAGACTTTTACTAAACATATTTTTTTCTATGCACTTTATTAGAAATGTAAATACATTATTCCAAATAGGTCAGTCGCCCACACTGTCTTTATGA